TGTACGGGTGCGAAACATGGACAGTGGGAGCGGCGGAAAAGAAAAGGTTAGAAGCGTTCGAAATGTGGTGTTATAGGCGGATGATGAGGATATCGTGGGTAGAAAAGGTTAGAAATAAAGAGGTATTGGAAAGAATAGGAGAACAGAGGACTCTATGGAAGACAATTAAAAATAGGCGAGATAGGTTGGTAGGACACCTTCTCAGGCATGAAGTTCTAGTCAGATACATGTTAGAGGCAGAAACGGGAGTTAGGAGGGGTAGAGGTAGACCTAGATTAGATTACTGTTCGCAAATAGTTAAGGATGTGGGCTGTTCTAGTTTTAGGGAAATGCGAAGTTTAGCTCAGGATAGGAATGAGTGGAGGTACGTGTCCAACCAGTCTTAAGACTGATGACCTTATGATGATGATAGTTTAGCGCAAGGCTATCCAACCCGAGAACGAATTGTAAATAGCCCGTGTGTACCAGTATTAGAATTCCCGCCAATTTGAAAGAGAAACTTAATATTGCCACCAAAGTATTACGAAAATAAAAATTAGATGCTTACAGCCTTTATCTTGCTCTTGCAAAAATGCAAGGCTGTCTTTATACTGACAAGACCAAGATCAAGACTAAAACCAAGTCCGAATGCACAAGACCAAAACTAAAACTTAGACTGAATATGCGAATGATTCTACACCAAAAAACCTTTTTGCAGAAAAAATATATTTAGTTACATACTTCTTTAGAAGAATTTAAAGATGATTCCTGGAAATTGTCTTCAAAAGAAGACTTTTCTGCAACAACCGACCTGACCTTTCAATTTTTAAGTAGTTTTAGATCAACATATTATGTTCATGAAAACTTTTTTAAATCTTAATCTTATAGTAATAAGGAATAGGCGAGTGGTTGGTTAACACCTTCTTAGATTCAAAGAGCTAGTTAAAGACACACTAGGAACTAAGGCGGACAGAGGTAGGCCTAGATTAGCTTATTTTTAAGTTACAGTTACAGAAGTACAGGTCTGACGACGGAAGCTGGCGAGCGGTCGCGCAGGTACTTGCCCATTTATGTCCTATTTGGGTAAGTCACTTGGAACCGATACACAAATAAGCTTTCAGTAGGCGTAAATTATAGTATTAATACAGATAGGACAGTAGCGTACTAGAAAATAATGTAAAAACATGACTTATCAAAAAGAAAAAATAAACCTATTGCTTTTGTTTTATAGTTAGTTTTCACATTCACTGTCATCATGGGAATCTCTATCACTGTCACCAACATCAACAATTAGTTCTTCTGTTTGTATGTCTGTTACTTACTCACTGATCCCTGCTTTTAAATATTTAATCTACGCTTCTGATAGGAATACTGAAGAATGAGGGCTGCAATCTTTAAACCTAAAACTGCCTACTTTTGCCACCGCGCATCCACTCCATTTTAAAATTTCCGCCAGCTTCCAGCGTCAGGCCTGTATGATGATGAACTATTTTTTGAAATTGTTTATGAAATTATTGTAATTCGTAAATGCAAATTAAAAGCTTGCTGGATTATATTAATGAGTAACGGTAAATATTTTACAGGAATTATTTCAATTTTATCAATAAACAAATGACAAGCTTATAGAGGGATTTTGTCTGTATGTACTCTAAAAATTACTTTTATAAAAGGATATTTTAAAAAATATAGAGATAGGATATTCCGTCCTTCCTTTCTTATCTCCGATAGATAAATTAGCTTTATAAACTTGCCACGTTCGAAATACTACTTAAAATTTTTATAATCCTGCTACTGATTTTTGGAACTAATCAAAATTACTGTAAAATTAGTGTACTGCCCACAGTGTATTATCCATTACCACACATTGTTATTAAATAGCACGATATGGTCATGTCTCCATTACTCATTTTAACTCCCCGTATATTTGTCAGGAAAATTCCCTTTATTTACTTTTCCGGTTTCATAAAAGAGTATACAGTACTTTCATAGCACAATAACGATAACAGTTCTAATTTTAAACCGTTGTAAAATCTAATTGGCAGAATTCCTTTTTGGACATGTACGTGAAGAGTGAAACGCATATTTATGAGAATTTCATTTGAATACATTACAATATAATAATTTCTCTCTAACTCATTTTCAGCCGTTTTAAAATGATTTCACAAGTTTTAAACGTTCAAATGGATTATTACATAGATTTTAAATATCCGAAGAGTTGACAGATACTTGACCTGATCTAAATTTAATTGGAATATCGTGAGTTTCTTCATGTACACCCCAAGGTTTATAAAAATCGGGAATTTAAAAAAAAAAATGTTTTTTAAACTGTACCGTGTGACATATCAAATAAAAAGGCTTTGTTGTTGTAAGGGTCTCAAATATACAGTGTAAACTCTTTATAACGTCACTCGATTTAACGACAAACTCCTTAGAACGTCGAAATTGCTTGACTTTGGTTGGTTTACATTGTTTTCTATACAATATTACACTCTATATAGCGTCACGCTCACTCTATTTAACGACAACAATGCGGCATTATAAATCATTGAGCAGTACTTT